ATGGCCGCCCCGCGCTCGCCCCTGAGCGCCTCGACGGAGGGAGCAGCAACAGGCCCCCACGCAGACGGTGGAGAGAGCAGGGGGAAGGGAAGCCAGCGATGCGTCGCGAGGAAGGGAAGCCAGCGATCGATGCGGTCTAGCGGAGTTGGCCGAGGAAGTATGGTGCGGCGGCTGGGAAGGAAATAAGTTAAGGTAGGGTTACGAGTATGTTGGGCTGATAGCGGGCCTAGTATTGGGCCGAGGCTATTTTACTGGCCATGCCGTGCCGCCCGACGTGTCTGGAGAGCGGCCAGGCATGGCCCTATGTGTCGGACCGTGCAGTGCTTGTGCCGGGCCAAAATGTCGTACTTAGGGCCAGCCTGCCGTGCTCCGGGCTGTATGCACATCTATAGATGGGCCATTCTTTCCTTCGCTCTGATAGGCGTAGCGATGTATCACGTAGATAATTTTTTTCCACTAAAAAAATGTATTTCGTAGACAGATAACAATGATGCATGTCCACTCAAAAAAAAATGATGCTTGTACTGGTCACTGGTGCGGAGTGATAGATGCACTGTCTGTTATTTAGTTGCGGCTGGATGCTGAGGAGTGAGCGAGGAGAGGACTTGCAAATGCAAGTCAACGTGCGCTGGCTCATGTGAGCAGAGCCTCCACATCTAGCTCGCCCCTCTCTGTCGCCTTGCTCGCCGATCTGCTGCGATACCCACCGGAGCCGGAGATAATGGGCGTCATCAAGGCGACGGTGGATTCCTTGTCCATGGCCTGAGCTGAGCTTCTCTGCTGCCACTCGTGCCATGGCAACGACTCTGCGCTCTCTATCTTCAGTTCTCCACTGCTGCAAAGCGTTGTTCTGTTGCAATTTGCAAAGCTGCTACCTCTTGGTCGAGTTCTGTTTGTTCTGTCCTGTTAGTTGGCATCTCCAGCTCAGTCATGTATTTAAAAGCTGAGATTTATCTCCTTCATTTTATTTATTTATTCATTTTTGCAAAGCTGCTAGTTCACTTCAGTCCCGTTTTCCTTACATTGTTTTGTGAGTCCGTAGCTAGAGCCAATTCGAGTCTGCAAAGTCCTGTCAGAGAGCAACCAAAAACAACTGGAAAAAGGGGAAATACAGGTGGCCTCGGATCTGAATTATCGCTAGGACAGTTGTGTATAAACTTTGTAGATATAGATATAGTCATTTTTTTTAGGGGATGTAGATATAGTCATATAGATATTTGAAAGGATATAGATATGGATCTGGAGTGGGTTTGACCGTTTTGTGTCTTTTTTTTTTTGGGGGGGGACCGTTTGAGAGTCCGAAGTTCCGTACTGATGCTTAAAGCTTGGGCTTGGGCCAGACATGGCAAAGGAAAGACGCCGTTTGTCGGCCCGAAAGGGTCACCTAGGCCTACGCCTACCTAGTGAAGCTTTTTGGCCCACTAAATGTGACACCAGGCTGAGCTGGACTATGTTGGGCTACCGTCCAACAAAAATCGATATGTATGGTCCTGAAAAAAAAATACATCTTATTTGTATGATCTTTTTGTTTATGAACTTACCTCCAAAACGAAATTACTTTCCTTCTTGCCTTCCGTTTGTTTTGGCCATTTGACGGTGTTAAATCCAAGATAAAATAACTATTATACCCCAGGTGAAAAAAATAAACTGCAAAGTTTTGTTTGTCTATTCTACATTTAGAGAAATATTACGCAAATAAATTCTAAAGCTGGTGATAGGCTTAGATCCAAACTGAAACCAACCTCAAACCATAAAAACGTAACTACCTCGCTGAACCAGTCTAATCCACCTACAAATACTCATAATCCATACCGAACCAAACTGGTGGGTGATTGTGCCCCCAAATCAGACCAAAACCATGGTGGTTTGAAACTGCTTGCATGCTTGGAGTGCACCAGAGCTGCAAGGCAGCAAGCCAGCGTCGTCTTTCGCACGTGCGTACGCAGAGCTCTTTCACCAGAGCTGCAAGCGCTTCGAGCTCGCATGCGTACGAAGTACGGCAGACGGACTTGGCGGCCGCGCAGGCCTTGCCGGCGCGCTGAGAGAAGGTAGCGGATGGACTCAGCAGTACGACAGCAGCAGCGCCGACGGCGGGTGGCCCAGCCAAAGCAGAGGCGGCGGCGCGCGCGTCCGGCGGGGGCCTGTGGCCGCGGCGCAGGGCAGGCGGCAAAGTCACGCGCGGAGGCGGCGGAGGTTCGTGGCCGCGGCACGGCGCAAGCGGCGGAGTCGCGCGCGGAGGAAGCGGAGGCCCGCGGCGGCGCTTGCTCGGGAGCCCGAAACAGACTGAGGCAAACTAGATCGATCCATTCTACTGCCAAGCCGCGCCGGGCTGGGGCCGGAGATCCCGGCGGCGGCGGCGGTCCCCTCCCCCATCGCTCGGTCTCCGTGTCTTTCCGCCTGCTCGGTCTCGGTCGGACGCGCGGTTGGATGCGGCGGTACTGGCAGAAGGAACAGAAGGGCAATTTAGATATTTCACGCATCGACCAGTGGGCATACCCAGCAATGGATCCAGAAAATATTTTTGGGAAGACTGAACAACACATAACTTCAACTGGTGCTCGATCTTAAATCTCAGCCTCCTACGCTATAGAACCGAGCCCCCCCCCAACCACGTTGGATCCGCCCATGGGCATACCAACAGAATTCCTTAAAAGACTTGACAGAGAAAGAAAATTTTGTTTTAAGGCCATACAATACAGCACGAACACACACAGCCTGTATCTAAAGACGAGACTAGGCCCGGTATAGAGCAGTTGGGCTCAGAAGCAGCACAGTGTCTTCCAGCCAGAACAGTATTTTTTTCTCACAACAATCCAGCCGGAACAGTATTTTGGCTTATTTTTCAGGCCAGCCGAACACTCCCATAGAACATAGAAGCAAAGATCAACGGGTTTGAAAAAGGAAAAGAAAAAAAAGGCAAAATAGACATTTTCATCCCTAAACAATCCTCCGAGGCTCAGTTTGGTCTCTGAACTTACAAAGTGTCCACTTTAGTCCTTAAACAATAGATTTGCAGGTCAATCTCGTCCACCCCCTTCATGGCTGGCCACATGACCAACGGTAAATGCAAAATGACGTTCCTGCCCCCTCGCTCCCTCCTTTATTACCCTCCAGCTCACTACGTTTCCATCTCCCCCGTTTCCTCCCTCTTGTCCCTGTTTCCTCTCCTTGTCTTTTTATCGTCTCCATCGGGGAGGAAGAGCTGTGAGATTGGCCGACGGGTTTCCCCAGTTTCCTCTCCCCCATCTGCTTCCTCTCCCCTGTCTCCCCTATCTCGTCTTTTCGTCTGGTTCGGTCGCTCCTTTGCAGAGGCCACCGCCGCCGTTGTCGCTCCTTTGCAGAGGCCACCGCCGCCGTTGTGCCTATGTCTGGTGTCTCTATGGCGCATGGATCTAGTGAGGGGAGAGGGAAAGGGAGAAGGCCGACGCCAAGAAGAGGAGTACCGCCGGATCCCAGGGTGTCGAGTTCTAGCGCTCATGAAGCTGCCCGCGTTGTGGAGGTGAGTACAAAGCTATTGGAGCTAGGGTTAATGAGTGGACTATACTAAATTTTGATTGCAACAGGGATTCATTTGATTTTTGATCAAAAGTTGTCGATTTGTTGTAACTTGAAACATTGCTTGAAGAACATTCAGAGGGGGGAAACTGAGGAGAGGGAAACGCCATGAGCCTCTAGTCGATAGGTAAAGGAGGGAGCGAGGGGCAGGAACGTCATTTCGCATGTATGGTTGGCCACATGGCAAGCCATGAAGGGGGGTGGATGAGATTGACCTACAAATCCATTGTTTGAGGACAAAAGTGGACACTTTTTAAGTTTAGGGACCAATCTCCTCAGACAATAGTTTAAGAATGAAAATGGCTATTTTGCCAGAAAAAAAAGCAAAGATCAACTGAATATCCCAGTTGTAGACAAAATTTGGTAGCTGCGTGTTTGGCAGCTCAAATCAATTATTTTGGTAGTAGGGTACAGACGTACAGCCTATTCAGACGACGGAATAGTTTGGAAGGTTTAATTTTATGTGTGCCACCACCACAATCAGAAAAGAAATTTGACGCGCACAGCGCATACGCAGAGGAGTCGTCAAAGGAGAAACATGCCCTGACCGGTTAATGATGAATTGGTGACACCAGAAAATCTCGTCCCTATCTTTAGCTAGCACTTCGTTCTGCATCGCTTATACCCTTTTCAACTATGGCAGATTTGGCCAGATGCCGCCTTTTTAAGGACCTGTTTAGTTCCACCAAAATGCAAACTTTGGTACTATGCAAAAAGAAGATTCCCCGTCTCATCAAACTTACGGTACATGCATGGAGTACTAAATGTTGACGAAATCAAAAACTAATTGCACAGTTTAGTTGTACTTTGCGAGACGAATGTTTTAAGCCTAATTAGTCAATGTTTGGACAATTATTATCAAATAAAAACGAAATGCTACAGTGCGCTACATTGTTGCACAGTAAATCCGGCGACGCTGAATTCGTCGAACTAAACATGGCCTTAGCTTCACTGCAAACTCCTTGTAAAGCTGCTGAGTGCTGAGGAAAAGGGAAGCTTCCTCTTTTTGTCTCACATGAACAAGTACGTAAGAGTAAGATCCTAACGACCATCAAATGATGAAAGCTGCTGTTCTCGGGGGAAAAAAATCAGTGGTAATAAGTTTTCGTCGCTATCTCTGGGGAAAAAAATTCATGGGGGTATTTTTGAAGAAACGCGGATGCTGTTATCCAACCTCTTTTTTATTTCTCACAATGACGAGGACCAGAAGAGAGAACGATGTCACGCCTAAAATTCAAACAACCCCTAAATGATGAAACCTACTACTTTGGTATGGGCATTCCCGTCATTCAGTCAATGGAAAATGACATAGAGTGCGTACATATACACAATCTCGTAAGCAGCTTTGCATTGCGCTGATCCCTACTACTAACTCCTATCTCCGCCAACGAGCAAGCCGCCCTTCCCCTCCCTCCGTGCCTCGGGATCCTCCCCAGCCGAACACCATGGTGAGCGCTTCCGCCGCCTTCGGCTTCTCCTACCTCTACCTGTGTTTGACCTTCGCCGCCCTCGAGCTCTCCACCTTCCTAGACTCGCATAGCGGTGCCGGCAAGGGCACCACGACATGCGCTGAAGCCCCACTGTTCCACATCACGGCCGAGGTTTTGCCGCCGTTGGCTGCGGTGGTGGTCCTCTTTGTCGCCGTCGCGCTCACCTACCGTCACCTGAGTCATCGCCACGCCTACGCCATCCCCATGGCCGGCGCGGGAAACGGGCGGCGCCCGATCTCGGGGTCTGGGCTCATCATGTTCGTGCTATGCGTCTCCGCCGGCACGCTCGAGTATATCGTGTTCGGGGGCAGGCTGCCGGTGGTGGTGCCAATCACGGCGCGCTCGGCCTAGCTGCTCTCCTCGCGCTGCCTGCCGCAGCGATAGCCACGTTCTTTCTCGAGATGATTCTAATCATCGTCGCACACGTCCGCGCCGCGCGGTGAGGGCGGCGGCGGTGCCGTCGCCGTAGACGGAATGATCTAGGGGCTCATGCGCCTCCTCACCAAGGTCGTGGCCGGAGCGGCAGCAGCGCTCGTCGGTCTCATGGCCATGGCAGTCACCCTCTATGGCGCCAAGTAAGTTGCCCCAAACTCTGCCGCCGATCGACCTTACCATTCCCGGCTGACCCGTGCACCCGCGCACGGCGCATCGGCCCTCCGCGGCTCTGCTCGTACTGCAGCCCCGCTTGCTGCCTCGGTGTGCCATGCGCCCGTGCATCCTCCCCGGCGTCCATGGCTCCCCATTGGCCCATTCGCCCTTAACCGCAAACCCCTCTTGCCGGCACTGATAGAGTAACAGGATCAACAAGCAGTAGATCTAGCTGGTCTAACTAACATTCGGGATATGGATATGAACTAGTGCTAGGAAACAAAGAGAGAGAGGGATGCGGTGTAGCAAACCTTCGGTCGCCTTGGAGGAAGACGAGCTGGCCTTCACGCCGGTGTCGATGATGCGGTGGAGGCGCGGTCGCAGGGCGGCGGTGCAGAGGCGGCGATGGTGGCTTCCCGTCGCTGGCAACGTCCCCTCTCTAGATTGGCTTAGGGTTAGGATGTATGTGGGGATTGTGGCGGCTCAGGTGAACCTCGTGCCTTGTGCCCCGGCCCCCACCTCTCTTTTTATGGTGCTGTGCGACGAGGGCCCACCAACCATAGTTAGGGTTGGGCGCCCCCGATCAGGGAACCGATCAATGTGTGGTAGAACCGTCGAAGTAACATACTTACGGAGGTGCTCGTCTTCCACCAGACACTAAACACCCCGAAAGCAAGCTATAGCGGACGGTATCCATCGGGCACCCCCCCAAGGGAGAACCCAAAAGATCCATATTTTTTCCAAGGATCCAATAATGAGAACGAGTTATAATACTTATCTATTTCATACATCAGAAGTTCTTAAAAATTACATCATTACATTACCAAATGTCAGAGTGCAGAATAATAAACAGCGGAATTTTAAAATAAACATCTAGTGACAAGGAATGAGGATCCGTCTGTGCCCACCTGAAGAATCCTCCACACAATGGTACTTCTCATGCATTACCTGCAACAGGGGTAAATAAACCCTGAGTACACAATGTACTCGCAAGGCTTATCCGACTAGTGGGAATAATTTTCCGACTCCAAGGAATATGATAAGCTTTATGGTTTGCTGGTTTTCTTTTTGGCTGAAAGCAATACTATTAGTGAGTCCTTACTTATGATATTATTAATAGCCGTATTAATTTATTATCTATCCATTCTATGTAAGCACCTGTTCTACTTTTAAGAAAGAGTTGAGCAATCAGTTCCATTTCATCACCTTCCATCTTTTAGTTCTTACTATGGTGCTAGACCCAAAAACTAGCCGTACCGGATTGCCCGGCGATTCATGAATCAATGCCCCCAGCTGGGTACCCTGAAAACACACGCCTCGCTTGTACCCTAGGCACAAGCAGGACTAACCCATCACCCTCCTGTCCTGGGTGTCCAGGTCCCCATCCAAACATGGACTCCAAGCCCTCACTCCTGAGTCTCGGACTTAGTGCGGTGCAAGGACCTCCACCACCCCGCCTCCAATCAGTCAGTCCGGAAAGAGCCGGATTCCACGACAAGAGAACAACGAGCCTTCCCTGCGTCCATACCCAAGTATGTGCTCAGGATAATAAATCTGTGACTTGCCTCGAGACTTATGCAACGGCCGGTCCTTAATCGACACAGATAGGGAAAAAGTGTAACCAAGCTATGCTCTATTGGCCGTAGGACACAACCTCTTACACCCACCAGTACCCAACCATATCCTTGCCCGGACATCATTTTCCTTTCCACCATTTTATCATGAGTAATTATCACCTATTGTGAGTAACGGCAGGTTACTCACGCTACTGATATCCTTAACATAGCAGCTACTCGACCTGTACTAGTAGGACTCATAGGTAGATATATTTATGCATGTAGTTTCCATAAAATACCTGTAACGTAAATGCACATCATATGTATATATACAATGATCATTAAAAATAGGGGTCATGCACCAGGGCTTGCCTTAGGCAGGCCCGTGGGTCAGCAAAGTCAGCACCAAAAGGCTCCGGGGCTCCCTCCTGCAAGAGGATCTCCTTCTCGTACTCCTCAATGACCTCTTTGTAATCCTGCTCATCCACGGGCACGAACTCTATCAACTCATGATCTACATGCATAAAATGATGATGCAACACTTAATAATATGGCAACAGTAGCTCTTAAAATAAACTATATCTTATCAAGTTACTAAGCTAGTCCTACCGGTGAAGGTACTAAGCTACCTACTGTTACCACTAACAAGTATGAAGCATGAAATACATTATCATAGCAACTAAAGGTATTCTTACTCCTAATACCGATTTACTCTATATATGATAAAACAAGGATAATTGCTACTCTATTTATACGAGCCAAAGTGATGGCAAGAGCAGGCGGCACTCCCACGTGCGGCAAGGTGACGTGCGGGTAGAGCTAAGAGTGGCCACGCGCGCACGGCACCATCGGGCGAGCGCGACGCGGTAGAGCGGCCAGTGCGCGGCACGGCGGTACGGGTCCACGCGGCTGTGCGCGAGCATGTGCGTGCGTGGCATGCCAGGGCGGAGCAATGACGACGCGGCCTGTAGTGCGGGCCCAGTGGCAGGGCTGGCCATAGTGGTGCGGGCGACGGTGGCCAGAGGCAGGCCCGACAGCGACGCGTGTGTGTGTGTGCGTGGCATCCCAGGCGCAGCAACAACGGCGCGGCCTACAGCGTGGGGCCAGCGACAGGGCCGGCCAGCGTGGCATCCCGCGCGGGGCGACGATGAGTGCCGACGCGGTGATCGTGCCTAGACACTGCAATCGGCTGGGACAGTGACTTGCACGCTTTTTAAAGCTACCCAAAAACCCAACTCGGCGATACAGGTGCTACCCCACCTATTTTATAGTCTAGTCGGTATATCGGGCTACTAAAAGAAACCCCCAAACCACGCCACTACCTAACCCGATCGTTCTACAAAGATTGCCAAACTTAGCTTCGTCAACACGTTGTCCGACTTAGGAAATTTCGGCCAAGTCCTAAACGGTTTTGCGTCGAATGCGACTTCCAAGCTACTCGATACACTAGCTAGCGAATCCCGTTCTTGACCGTTCGTATTTCACTGTCACCTACGAAGTTCATGCGACAAACTCTACCAAAGCTTTGCATATGTGTTCTATAGCAATTTCGTTCCATAAAAATTCATTTAGAACCCTAAGTAATACAACGCGACATGAAATGTAACATGCATTTCGTGTTTCAAATGAACGTTTCAAGTTTCGTATATTACTTTATACCCTATATTACACACATTTACACACAAGTATGATGCTCATGCAGTGTTTTAGCAAAAAGCTATATAGTGTAACACCGAGGGTGTTACAAATCTACACCCCTAAAATAAAATCTCGACCCGAGATTTTATGTGCCTAGTGTGAGAAGGAGATAGGAAGTATATTTCAACGTAACAACTACTCATCAGAACCAGAGAGAAGGTGGGGGTAATGCTTCAATATATATCTTTCTTGTTCCCACATAGCCTCATCCTCAGAGTGGTTTTGCCACTGCACCTTGTAGAACTTTATCACACTATTTCTGGTCACTCTTTCTTTCTCATCCAGGATTTTGACAGGGTGCTCAACATAAGTCAAATCAGACTGGAGGGGAAGCCCTTCAATTTCCATAGCTTCATCAGGCACCTGTCGATACGGGACCCACAGGATACCCCGCAAGAGAGAGAGAAGATCTAGTTCAACTAGGATTCTTCCCATGTAATCTTAGTAATAGAACTATTAAGTAATCCTACTAGGAAATCTCATTGTAAACCGACTAGGACTCTGGCCTCCTGACTATATAAAGGAGGGCAGGGCTCCTGAAAGAGTAAGAACAATTGTACAAGATAACACTTCATAATCAATCCAACGCAAAAGGCAAACGCCGAACCGGGCGTGAGGGGTCGTTACTCGATCTACGATCGAGGGGCTCGATTTCAGATAAATTGATTTGTCTCTTGCGTTTACCATCGAGTTCAAACATACTGCGAAGCTCGAACGAATCGCCACGGTACCCACATGGCGGGCTATCGGTGGTAAAACATCGACAGCTGGCGCGCCAGGTAGGGGATTTCGGCGACTTTGTATCCGAGACCTCGATAGACCTCAATAACATGATCTTCCCGATGGGATCGATTTTCATCTTCGGCTCGTGGATCTGCGAGGCGGACAACTACGGCAAGCTTCAAAGCCATCTCATCAAAGATCCGGATCATCATGAAGAATCCTCTATTTCGACAACTACGACGGATCAGCTCACCGGAAGATTCGCGCATGACCCATAATACCGATTCGAATAAGATTCCACGGCTACGCATCCGACTCGAATTCAAGCTCCGTATCGAGATGAAGTCCTATTCGAGTGCTTTCAAGAAGTCGAGTTCCTTTTGGCAAGATTCGAGCACAACCCAAAACAACTCGGATTACCCTCAGAATTCTTTCAAAAGGCCAGTTCTTTTCCATTTGGGCTCGACAACACGACAAAATCCTATCAGGGACAGTTTGAAAGGTCTTTCAAATCAACACTTGGGATACCACCGCAGGAGCTCAGGAGGGTCTCGTACTAACGATAACATCGCAAGACTGTGTCATCCATTGGCCAGGATCCGTTCCTGAGGATAGCGGAACCCAACTAGTCGGCACAACAACAACAGCTATTCTACCTTACCAAGAGGGAGGCTCAATCTACGACGTTGAGGCGCATACTGAAGTCATCAGCAACTCCGGCAAAGTATGAAAACTAACAACAATAAGCGGGCGGCTCACGCATGCGGAAGTGCTCATGGTTCGACG